GAGGCACAGATAAAAGGACAGGAAGATGGCTCTTCATTATTGTTATGTTTCAATGTAAAATAGGGGGGTGTAGAAATTACCAAAGATGAAATATTTTCTGTGGGATTTTTTGAGAACCTTATCTCTGGCAATTCACAAACCAAGAGGGGAATGGAGCCTAAAAAAGACTATCATGAGCAATAGGCAAGATTTTCCTTCTTGGTCCCTGTTTTGAATGATTATAGATTTGCAGCTTTGCACTAAAACTTCATGTTTCCAGACAGTGTTCTTATAGCTGAACTGGAATGTTTTTTCTCTCTCTCTCTTTGTGTATGTGCACATATGTGAAGGAACGAATGAAAGAATGAACAGGAAAGACGACTAACTGGCGATTTCTGTTTTGTCATGGGGAAGCTGCTTTGGAGTAACAAAGGTTAAGAGTCTTTAAAAAAAAAATTAAGTTTCAGTTCATACTCACAAACAAGTTATTGTGGGAGTTACGGTAGGCTGAAAATCCTTGGTTCACGGGGCTTAAAATGAACTCAGTACAGATGCCCAGGAGGGAAGAACTGGGCATAGCCTACAAAGCTTGGCTCAGCCACAGTGTAGGCAAATCACTTTCTAGGCAGAGGTCCAGAGGAGTTAATCTGGCAAGTGAACCCTAACATACCTTACGGGGAGCCTAACGAAAAGCATGGTTGAAAACGAAACTAACAGCTCAGAGAAACCATTTATTCAGAAAAAAACAGGGTGTAAACTTGACATCTTCCTATACACGGTAGTGAATATTATGACTAAAAATGAATTTTGCATAAATACAGAGGATCAGTCTTTTTAAAGCAAGAGGGTTACTGAAGTGAGTTCACCGCTACAAAAAAGGGTTCACAATCTGACCCAAGGTCCTTAGTTTCTTTGGGATAAGAGGCTCTGTCTTTATTCACATGGCGATGAAAGTAACATAACCCGATAAACCTAATTCTAGTTACTGAAATACACAATTTGTTCCTTTGAGTTAGATGATGCAGTCTTTTGCTGCCATAGGGCATTTGTCAGTGCGTAAAATGCAAATAAGCGCGTGAGTAGGCTGTGCGTAGACATCCTCTCCCAAATCCAGCTGTGCCAATGAAAGAGGTTACTGAATCCAACGACTCCTCGTCCTCCTCCTGCTGCAGGCTGTCACTGCAAAGGTCTGCAGGAGCCGTTCATGCTCCTTAACTTGCTTCAGCTGAAGAGCAGCCTGACTAACTTAGCCCACATCCCCAAACCGCCTCAGCTAGCCTTCCTTGGCTTGATCTGAGCTAGGGAGCACTGACAGAAGCTGATCCACCAGCACGTCGGCGAGATGGTGACGGCTGAACGAGTGCGCGCTGGCAAGGCAGCGCAGGCAGCGACCTGTTCCACCGAGGCAGCCGGACGCGGGGACGGCTGCCTGTGACTGCTGGCCTTCCGCACGCGCGTAGCAGCAAAACAGAAGGCTGGCAGGAATTGATTCCTCCAGATTAACGGTCTTATAAGCCATGCAGATAGAAGTTCTATTACAGCAAAAGTTAACGATAATGATGTGATCACCAGTCAAGAGCAAACGTGCTGAAATAGCACAGTGGTACTAATGAAATTCTTCAAAGCCTTATTAGCTGAAAAGATGAAAATGATTTTCATTCAGGAGGAAGGGAGACTTTTTTTTGTTTATTTTAAATTATAGATAATGTTTTCTGCATTTATTTTGCACAGCATTTTCATGGGCAAAACATTCATTTTATATATATAAGCGTGTGTGTGTTTAAATCTATATAAAATAGATGTAAATGTACACTGCAGAGTACGAACTTTTAAAGTAAGGATGTCCTTCAAGCTTAGGTGATTATACTGCTGCTGAGTTTTTGCTATACTCCAGTGGCATTCTGCTGGAATGAGATTCACCCCTGTGCAGAGGGCAAGCATAAAACCTAAGTACCATGTAAGTCCTACTTAAGTCTTAAGGACCTGGTTCTAATTCCATTGAAATAAATAGCAATATTTTCATGGTCTTTCAGTAGGAGCTGTTTCAAGGTCAATAAATGGGATCAATCCTATATACGCCTCTTGCTGGCCCACCTGGAATGATACTTGAAGGAGCTGGGTGTAAAACGCTTGGGAATAAAAAGAGGTGAAATAATACCTTGGTAGGAAAAGCCTTGGTAATTCTGGAGAATTTGCTTAAGGTAGATATTGGAAACAAAACATTCATTTGCTTCCAAGATTCAAGAACGTTAGGTAAATTTATTCGAACCAGAAAGCTGGTCTTACCCAAATCTGGCTTGAAGAGTACTGTGCATACTTCTGCCACATTCTGTGTAATATAATGCATAATACTGAGAAACACAGTCAAATTTATTTAGAGCTTTATTATTATTTCTGCAGTACTAGGGGAATTTTGGATACCTCAGAGTACTAAAACATCATGTTCTCTGCTCTGGCAGTATTAACAGGGTTTCTGTGTGTTTTTCTGCTGCATCATCTGCTCTTGCCAGGTAACACGATGGCATCTATTTATGCATCTGAAAAGTCCTGTGCAGAACCCTGTTTATATTTCATAAATTCCAAGTGTTTCACAGCTGACTTCCCATTACAGATGAGAAAGCTTTAGATAAGACTACGTTCACAACACAGGGCAACGGAGAACCCTGCACTCGGACTTTGTGCATCTTACAGGGACTCCTGGCCACAGCAGCCTATTTCACTTCCCAGCTTGTATAGGGAAATAAATATGTATTGGACTCCTTCTAGAATAACCTTACACCCAACTGCCAACTTTGCAAGTGTAAAAGTACTGTGTGCATGCTCAGTAAGTGATTTTCAAAGGCTCTGGCCTGCCATAAATGAAATCCAGATTCCTCAGAACTAAGCAGAGGTGGAAGGCTAGGCCTATGGCACACGTTTGTTTTTAACCTTGCCTGTTTCAGCAGCAGGCCAACTCAAAGAAAGCACAGAATAGATTTTCTTATAATAGAAAACATTTTTCTACTTTCTTTTTGTTATTATTCCACATGAAAACCAGATTATTTTCCCCCTTGACAAACTTAAAAAATGAGGAACTTCAAACAGAGACCGTACATGAATTTCACCCCTACATGTGCAGCTGAGGAGGTTACCCCTGAAAACCTTGCGTTTGGTGAACTTGGTGAAGAAAGGCGCCAACTGCTCTGGTGAAACACCAACTACTATTTTGCAGCTTCTGCGGAGGTGGGTAATGGGTTTCCAAAATAGCCTCTCTCTTCTCCTGGAGGTAAGTCTGTTGTGACAAATACAGCAAGCAGCGGCACAAATCAGAGGAGACCATAGCGGTTTTTTCCCCCAGAGCCTTTATTGTGATGGAAAATCCACACACTAGAATGCAGCTCCATCAAAGATCCTAAGTAGCAACTAACACGTCTCAGAGGAGTAGATGGGGGAGCAGTGCCTGAGGCCATCAGGAAAACCTCCCACTCTAGTGTAAAATCATGCCAGGTCCTTACTGCACACACCGAACAGACAATCCTGACACTTGTTTTACTATCTACCAAACAGTAGAGGGGACAAATAAAAGGAAGAAGTTATATACTGTTTAAAAATCTGATGGAAGAGATTGACTTAGCCTTTCTGCCGCAAATAAGTCATTCCCAATAATATTTAAAATACTGTATGAAATAATGAGGGTAACATGGAGTTATCCTGCAGAAATCTTTCAGGGTAATTCAAATCAGAGCTAAAATTCAAAGCTAATATTGACCACTTTTAGAGGTGAATAAACAAGATGATTGGCTTGGGATTTAAGAGTGACGACAGCAACAAAAGTTGTTCTGCCTCATTTTCTCCATCAATAAAATGCAAATAGTGGTATCTGCCCCTTTTCAGGACTTTTTGAAAGATCCACGACTAAGAAGCATTATTCCAAGAACTACCACCCCTATCGAGTGGTACAACAAGGTTAAAAGTGCTGGGTCAAGGTTCAACAAGGCTCAGTGCCAGGTCCTGCACTTGGGTCACAACAACCCCATTCAACGCTACAGGCTGGGGGAGGAGTGGCTGGAGAGCTGCCTGGCGGAAAAGGACCTGGGGGTGCTGGTCGACAGCCGCCTGAACATGAGCCAGCAGTGTGCTCAGGTGGCCA